ACTAGGAAAGACACACAATCCCATCACACGCACATCCCCCAGATTTTGTCCATTCAGAGCTATAAGAAAACATATGCAACATAACCCATTTTACATTTTATCCAACCTCCAAAGTGATAGTGCATATGCAATCCTATATACACAGTGCAATTTTAAAAGAAGCAAGCCCATAGAGTTCAATGGGACTTACCCTATTGAAATAGATAAATGTGCATAGGATTGCACCTTATACAAAATTACAGAGGCTGTGCTTCCCCCTTGTAATACTGTGCTGTTAAAATCTGTGCAGCTGTCAATAAATTTATTCTATGTTCTGTTATAACTCTTCCAAATAGTGGCAGAGTGTGGGAGGGGTCACAGGGGAAGTTGCCCTGGGTGCAAAATTCATAGTGGTGCAAAATTTCAAAAGGGAAAAGAGAAAGTAGTAATGATAAATTTAAAAAATAGCATGCCCTCCCACTCACACAGAAAATCTCCCAGTGTTTGTGTAGGTGGACAGAGGAATGGATTTGGGTGACGGCCAGTTGCTAGGGTGCCCTCTGCATATCTGCTCCCGACCAATCCCCCGTCCCACTCTCCACCATGCTCGGGTACCCAAGCTGCCACTTGGGAAGGTCACTGAGCTATTGCGCCTTCGTTCCAGCTTATTGGCAAGTGGTGCCAAGGATACTTGCCTTGCCCTGGGATCTGGCAACCCATGCTACGCTACGGCTTCCAAATAACCTATGAGCATATTTATGAGATGAGTTGTGTTAGAACTTCCAGTTTTATCCCTTTATTTTTTTATCCCTATCTGTTAACGAGAACCCCTGCATCAGAAAGGCAGAAAAGGACATCCACAGTATCTTACAGCTCTCAGCCATCAGCCCACGTAGGTGATCCTAACAAATAAAGAATAATGCAGAGAAGAAGACAACACCACAAAACTAAATAGTCAACCAGACTTGACTATGTAATGACATTACTGAGTTTTTTTTGTCATTGGGTGCCAAGTGTGTCTGCAAAATGTCCCATATGTACTCTTAGTTCTAAAAACAAGAGAGGTGTAGACCCATTCCATGCATCTTGGTATATAAGATCTCAGTTTCCAGTGTGGGTCTCAAATACATTTGTGAAAAGCTATGGCTCAGTGGTAGTTTATATGCAAATGGTCCCAGGTTCATTCTCCAGCTAAGGGTGCAAAAGTCCCTTGTGCATGAACCCTGGAGAACCACTCCTAGTCAGGGCTCGCAATACTGAGTTAGATGGCTCAATGGTCTGACTCTGAATAAAGGCAACTTCCTATGTTCTTACATCTGGTGATGTGTTGCAATCAGCTACATTCACTGGGAATCTTATGTGTGTTTGTGGCTGCCAGGAAGGGCTATCCCTCAATCATATCCAAGTGTAGGATTTCGCCATCTGTTAGGTGGCTGTTTTATTGCTGTTTTTATGTTTGGCTGGTTGCGTTTTTACTGCCTGTTACTTCAGAGGACTTTGTTTTTAATTTGTATGCCACTTCAATTCTATTTATGGAGAAAATGGTGCTTTTAAAGAACCCTCCGTCAAGCTGAAACAGCAGCAACAGCCAGAGATCAGAGATGTGTACAGGGGAGCAGTCTTGTTGGCAGTTTACACTAGGAAAAGGACAGCCCACCCAGTCCACATTCCCTCTTCAAAGTGGCCCTCCCTCTCTCAGGATATGAGTTGCTGACAAGGGCATTACACAGAAGCGAGAAAAGTAGATGTGTGAGTGACTCACTCTTCATTCCTCATTTCTGCTGTAAGGTGTAAGGTGGAAAGTGGGACGTGGACCTCACCGGCTGTGAGATTTGAAACTCCCATATGGCTTCTGCAGCTCATAGTCCTCACGGTAGGTGGCAGACTCTGGTTCTACTTCCCATATTACAACAGGTCTTGAGAAAGAATCACATCATCACATTTCTTTCTCAACTTCTGTGTAATATACACAAACCTGCTCTGAGAATCTGAAGAGCTACATGGGCTTTCAACTCTCCCCCCACCAAAAGAAGCTCAGTGAACCAATTGTGTGAAGTCAGAAGATAAATATGCTCATTATTCCAGCTGCATAGGCCCACATTTATGAGATACAGACTAGTATACAAGACACAGGAGTATTCCAGGGAATTCAAACTTTTGAACCATTTCTCATGAGACCAGCCCCGACGAATGCATTGTGGAAGAGTTAGGTATATGAAGTTTGGTAGCCTTTTATTACCAGCAGGTATTGATCCATTTAAACAGTCTCTGAAAAGCTCAGCTCTACATAGTGTCATCTGGAGTTGCTGTGGAATCATAGAGGATAACTCAATGGAAAATATTATGTTTATAGGTAAATGTATTTCTTGCCATCCAAACAGTCCTTTGCCCTTGAGTTCTGAGAATGTCATTTACTGGATATTTGGATCAGAACACTACCAAAAGAAATGGCATACCTTTTATAGATAAATTAAAAGTACTAGTAAATGAAGCATGCACTTTGCAGGCATACTTCAGAAACAGCTGCCCATGTTTGTCCTACTCTCCTAAACCTCATTGAAGTGAGGGAAGGGAAACAGAACACAAACAGCCCATGGTTTGTTCCATGGCTTGCTCTGTGTCAGACTGATGGCTCCATCACTGCCTTGATGCACTCATGGTCCAGCCAAAGCTAATGAGCTGCAACTGAGTCATGAGAAATAGAGACCCTGTGGGTGGGCAGTTCCTGGGTCTAGGACAGTTCTCCCAATGGAAGGATGTAGAAAGTGGAGTTCCCCCAAAATTATCAATGGGAACTGTACTCTTTAACTTGTTCAAAAATATATAGGGAGAGAGTTAGGGGTTAGCAATCAGGGAGCCAAGTTTGGTGATGATACTTAAAAACAAAAAGGGATTGCAAGGAGTTACAAAAAGATCTCTCTAAAACTTAATGGACAGTACAAGGGAAATACAATTCAACGTAAAGTAAAGGTAAAGGGACCCCTGACCATTAGGTCCAGTCGTGACCGACTCTGGGGTTGTGGCGCTCATCTCGCTTTATTGGCCGAGGGAGCCGGCATACAGCTTCCGGGTCATGTGGCCAGCATGACTAAGCCGCTTCTGGCAAACCAGAGCAGCACACGGAAACACCGTTTACCTTCCCGCTGGAGTGGTACCTATTTATCTACTTGAACTTTGACGTGCTTTCGAACTCCTAGGTGGGCAGGAACTGGGACTGAGCAACGGGAGCTCACCCCGTCGCGGGGATTCAAACTGCTGACGTTCTGATCGGCAAGTCCTAGGCTCTGTGGTTTAACCCACAGCGCCACGCCACGTAAGCATGTGTAAATTGATGCACACTGGAGGCGTTTCCCCACCCCCATTTCACACATATGCTCATGGGTTCTGAATTGGCAGTGACAGACCAGGAAGAAGACCTTGGGGTCATAGTGGATAGCTGGATGCAAAAGCCAACCCCGTGCTCAGCACCTGTGAAAAAGGCAAATGCCATTAGGGAAGGGATTGCCAATATCAAAATGCCATCATTCAAATCTGTGCTGGGACCGCACTTGGAATATTGTGTACAGCTCTAGTCACCTGACCTCATTAAGTATATTGTAGATCTGGAAAAGGTTCAGAAAAGGGCAAGCAAAGCGATCAAGAGTCTGGAGAAATTCCCTTAAGAGGAAAGGCAGGGCTTTTTAATTCAGAAAAAAGGGAGCCACGCTAGAGGCGTATAAGATGGTGTGCAGAAAGTAGGTATAGAAACACTTTTCTCCATATCTCACAATAATGGAACCCAAAGCCATTTGTTGAAGCTGAAAGGTTCAGAGCAGTCAAAACAAAGTGTTTATTTGCACAGCACATAAACTATTGAACTATGGGATTTACTCCAACAAGAGGCAGAGATAGCCACAACCTCTGATGGCTTTAAAGGAGTATCAGACAAATTCATGGAGGATAAGGCTAGTAATGGCTACTAGTCACGATGGCAAGACTCTGTCTCCGCTGCTACACCCAGTATGCCTCTGAATACCTTGCTGGAAATCACAAATGGGAAGAAGTACTGTTGCGCTCAGCTCCTGCTGGTGAGCCTCCCATAGGCATCTGCTTGGCCCCTGTGTGAAAAGGATGCTGGACTAGACAAGCCATTGGCCTGATTCAGCAGGGCTCTTCTTATGCTAGGTGGAGAAAGTAATGACATTTAAACTTCTCTTTCAAAAACATATCTACCCAAGCTTTCCTGTATTCTGACTTTACATTTTTAATTCTCTGTACACTGCTCAGTTTTGTCTGCGACATATAGTTCGGTTTATTTTTTAAAATTTGCATTGAGGAATTTAATTGAAAATTATTGTTTGTACTTTGTAAACTACTTACCGTAAGAGCCTTTTATTCTGTTAAAAATAACAAAAACACTAAAATAAATAAACCACCAGCAGCTCAAGCTCTGTTCAGTTGGAACTTTGTATGTGTGATGACAGCAAGTCATTTTGGTCAATCAAAAGATGCAGCGTAAGTCAAATCTGATCCTATGGTAAGCGGCAGGCATGAGAGCCACCGGCAGGAGCAAGTTTGCATATACCTAATTAATCCTCCAAACCCAGTGCCCCATCTAAGGCAGGAAACGTCTCTAATTCAGCCATTAATTATCCTTTGTAAGTAATGGCTTCCCTCCAGCAAATATATTTCACCCTAATTAAAGTAAGCACTTTGTTTGCATTTCCTAAGAGGTTCAAGTTCAATTCTTACACTGGACCCTTAAGACCCAGTCGGACTGGCTAGGATGCCCAAGTGCTCCACCACATCTCTACAGTAGGAATCTACATCCTATTTGCAGCTCTTATTTACAAAACAAAGTAACAGTCAACTGCCAACCACCAATGGCTTAGTATTTAAGACTTAACTGCCCCCTGCCCACCAACACAACTCCACAAGCACAGTAAGCTCTTACATGTTAAATATATAAAGCAAACCCCATCTTGATAAATACATTTTAGAAATTGATTTCTCCACAAAAATCATCATTTTGCATCACGTCCGCCTGGATAGCTCAGTGGGTTAGAGCATGGTGCTTATAAGACTAAGGTTGCAGGTTTGATCCCCATATGGGGCAGCTGAATTGCAGGGGGCTGGACTAGATGATCCTCAAGGACTCTTCCAATTTGACAATTCTATGATCCTATAGGCCTGCCAATTACCAAATGGTGGTGGTATCCTCAACACCACAATGTGTGTGTGTGTGTGTGTGTGTGTGTGTGTGTGTGTCCGTCCCTGACTTTATCAACACTGGAGATCTTGTGTCCATAGAGCTAAAAAAACCAGGAGCTGTAAGGGCACTTCAGAAATGTGCCAGGAGATGATTAGGAAATACCGGTAGCTTGGACCCAAAGGCATACTGGTCCCATGACATGTCACCCACACTGAGGAGAGATTTTGACATTTGTCCTCAGTGGGAATGAAATAGCATCAGTAGGGGAGCACTAAATGGATGGAGGAGCACAGGAAGGCTTTTCTTCCTTAACTTCTGCCCCCTACGTACGGGATTTAGGAGGAGGTGATTTGGCTGCCTTTTGGTTTTCCCCTCCCTTAGTTCAGGATTGTAGCCTTAGTCTATGTTAAATCTAAATCTCCGCATGTTCAAGTGAAAACAGTAATTTAAGGAGGTCAACCAAGCATTAAAAGACAGAGATTGAAGCTTTTCATGCCCAGTGGGTACTGGTGATTTAATTAGATTCGGTTTTAAGGTCCCAGTTAGTAGAGTTGACTATTTTGGTTTTGAGTTAAACCAATTTAACAGATGGAGGTTTCAGAAGGAAAATCAAATGACTGGTGATGGCACTCTGGTAATCTTATCAATGTTACTCTGTATAAGACAGAGATACAAACTTAATTATTCTTGGTGCTTTGTTTTAAGACTACTTTTATGATCTGCCTTACGTTTCATATTCAATTTCTGGACACTGTATGGGTATACAGTGGTACCTCGCAAGTCAAACAGAATCTGTTCTGGAAGTCCATTCAACTTCCAAAATATTAAGAAACCAAGGCACGGCTTCCGATTGGCTGCAAGAAGTTGTGTTGGACATTTGGGTTCCAGAGAACGTTTGCAAACCAGAACACTCACTTCCGGCTTTGTGGTGTTCGGGAGCCAAAACGTTTGAGTCACAAGGCGTTCGTCAACTAAGGTATGACTGTACTATGCAGTGCTTTTTTTTCTAAAAGAATGTTTAGGGGTACTCTCATTTTCCTACTCATATTGAAATATTGCCCCTCAAAGAGGCCAAACTTAGATTCACAAAATGTTTAGGGGTATGCGTACCCCTCCATACCCCCAGAAAAAAGAACTGGTACTATGAATTTAGAACTTAGAATTTAGAATAAAAGAAAGGAAACATTTAGGTGCTAGGTGAACGTCTTTCTATTCATGCAGGCCTTTTAAACAACTTTCACTTCACATCTTGAATCTCTCAGTTTCGAATTTACTTTTAATTTTGCTTCAGAATTTGTTAACATTGTTTTAGGGTTTTTTTATGCTGCATTTTCAAACTGTTGGATTATGAGCCATTCAAAAACTTTGCACCTATATAAATGTAGAAAACTATTCAATGTATTTAAAGCACATTTAAAGCAACCTGCTTACCCCAAAGACTCCTGGGAACTTAGGTTTACCCCTCAAAGAGCAACAATTCCCAGCACCCTTAACAAACTAGTGTTCCCATGATTCTCTGTGTGAAGTCATGTGCTCTAAATGTACACAGTGTAAGTTAGCAAAACATCTTTTTCTTGCATGATACTGATGCAGCTGGCCAGAGGAGATACCGCCGCCTGCTCTCTGGTTCACCCAGTTGACTCATCATCAGTTTGTCAAAAGGCCAATGGGGCTTGATCTTGTCATGTAATTCCCCAAACTCTTGCCCTGGGGCTCTTGAGCAACTCATCTCCACAATCATGACTGAGACGCTTTCCTCTGTGCCTACATATCTCCTTAGCCAACTGACACACTCTGCCTGGCTCTTCTCACACTATGGATATTCTTCAATTATGAGACTATAACCCACTTTCCAGATTACACTTTAATTGCTCTTTCACCCTGCCAACCCCAATGCTCTTTTGTTGGAAGCAGTCACTGTTTCTTTGCTGTGGTGTTTATTCATTCCTAAAACTGTGTAAGAGAAGATGGATAATCTGGATCCTTAGTCTAAATTGTTCTCTAGTTAACTACCTTTAACCTAATCCAGAGGATTGTTTTCATATAGCATTGTGTTTTAAAGCACCTCTGAATAATATACAAAGACAGCTATTCTCTTTCTAAGTCACCAAATGTAATAATGGTTGCTTCTTGGAAAATTCTCTCTAACTCCTGCTGCCAAGTATCCTTTGAAGAGATATGTCCATATTTGGTTGACAAATGAAAAAGAAAAATTACACCTGACATGAGAATGGCCATACCTGGTATAAATTGCAAGATTATTGTCCAGTCCATAATTCCTGGGATGAATTTCTGGAGCTGCAAGTTTCAGCTACAAGTTCTGGAGAAGTTGGAACCTGGCAGAAAACACTATTTTGTCAAGCAGGCAAGGGATGGAGACACAGTCTCCCAGTATTTATCCAAAGTCTTATCAACCCAGAAGCTTCACATTAAGGTAGGTTTCATCACTCTCTAGGTGTTGCTGTGTCAGAGCTCGGAATGTTCATTTTTGAAATGAACTCGTTAAAGTTCAACATATCCAAAAGGGAACAAATGCCCATCCACATTCATTGCTTTACAAAAGAAACTAGCTCATTTTATGGTCAGTGTGAAATATACTTAAGAAGACTAAGAAATTGTCAAAATACACATTCAGTGGAATGTGAAATGTTTAATTAAATTCTTCCCAACAATTACAATCTTTAAGTGCAGAGGTCAAAAGAGTCTGAAGAGTAAACGATGTATAAGAGGCAAATGAGCAGTATATAAATTAATAAATAACAATTAAAAACATATGTAAGAGAATAAACTTGAAGATGAACTAGAAATCATTCAAAGTTCTGCCCCAAAGTGAACATAATTCACCCATCAATTACGTGACCTATTTTCAGGTGCAGTTCAGAGATTTTTGAAATAATTCAATGAACTTCACTAAACAGGACTAGTTCATTCCAAGCATTTTGTTGGGCTACTACTCCCATCAGATCCAGCCAGCATGGACTATATACAGAGATAATGGGAGTTGTAGTTCAATAACATCTGGAGGGCCACAGGTTCCCTAGTCCTGCTTTAAGATAACACCCAGGCAATCCCAGGACGCTCACTTGGCAAAGCCAAGATGACAGATGGCTCTACTACCCATGTGATGGAGTTTCATCCCAGGAGAAAATATAGGGCAAACTGGTCTGAAGGCACATGATAGCACCACTTTGCTAAAGCTAAGCAGCTCTGGGTCCTGTCAGAGCCTGGGAACCACATGTATGTCACCTTCGCAAATGTAATAAAGAATGTAAAAAGATAGTAAGAGCCTGAGAGACCAGGCAAACGGCTCATCTAGTCTAACATCCTGCTCTCACAGTGGCCAACCAGACAAATGGTGGTCCCATGACAATAGAATTGCAGGATATAGATGTAAGAAAATGATTGAAAGGAACGTAAATAAAGCTACTCCCTTGTTTCACAAATCTCAAATATAGCAAAATAATAAATGATTCATCAAGCCATCACACAGATTATCATTGAGACTGTACAGTTTGGGAAAAATTACACCTGCAGCCAGCGCCAAATTAAACCCTGTGGAAGCCCCTAGGCAGTCAAAATCTCAGCGGGGGGCACTCTAGTGGGACAACAATCAAGAAAGAGTGATTGTAATTTTCTTTCAATGTCCAATCAATATTATTTTGATCCATTGTCACGGGGCCCCTAAAAGGTGTGGGGCCCATAGACCAGTGCCTAGTCTGCCTATTTGGTAATCCAGCACTGCCTCCAGACCAACAACAATGGAAGGAGTTAAAATACTCGTGCGTATTATTATTTTTACCTTAAGCAACACACCCATAAGTCACGTCAATTAAAACTAGTATGGAGAACAATACTATGGAGGGAGACTGTTTCTGTCTCCTCTGCAGATCAGCCATAACATTGCTTTTCTTAGCACCTCCTGCTAGCATCACCTATGAAGGGAAGGATTTCCCCATTTTTATTAACAGATAAAACACACATTTTAGCAGGTGAAAATATCTAAATGGAATTGCACACCTGAAGAAAGCTCCCATCATTGGGCTGATCAATTATATCCGATGAGGTCTAAAGGGTGGAAATGCATAAAAGTGAGGCGTAAAGGACAGCTATCTACCGTATTTTTCGTCCCATAGGACGCTCCTAGTTTTTTGGGTGGGGGGAAATAAAGGGGAAAAAATTGCCTTTATTTCCCCCCCAAAACCAGGTCGAGGAACAGCGGGATGGCGGCGCTATGCCTCCCCGCTGTCCCCCGAGCTTGTGGGGCTGGCCGATGTCTGCCCGGCGCGTGGGGTGCTCTGCTTCAGGGCGCCCCGCGTGCCGGGCGGCAGGCTGCTATCCGCAGCGTGGGGAGCCCTGCGGGAATTCCCCCAAAGGGCTCCCCAGACTGCGGCTGTCTGCCCAATGCGAGGGGCGCTCCGCTTCAAGCCTGTATTCACCCCATAGGATGCACACAGATTTCTCCTTCATTTTTGGAGGGGGAAAAGTGCGTCCTATAGGGCGAAAAATACGGTACTTGTTTTCTCTATCCCCAGGAGATGGATGTACTCCAATCGCATTCCTTGATCATATCCCTTGTTTTCTTTAGAGAGTTTCTGCCCGCAATCCAGAAATGGGGAGTTGGGGGGAATATACCTCTGGTTATCTAAAGGGGTGAGGAAGATTGTGTGGTTGGATAATTCAATTCAGACTCTACCTGTACATCCAAGAAAGTGAAAAGAGAATCTTTAGGACCGTCCAGTGATTGCCGCTTTGTAATTCACGAGGGAGCGAGCACCAAGGGCAAAAGAAAATGCAGCTTAACGGAATGGAAACATTTATACTCGCATACAGACATAGAATACCAGGAAGCCGGAATACAGATCCAGCTTTCATATAAATTCTCTCATCTCCAGTTTTTCACCTGTCTAAATATACCAGAGGGAGGTTGGGAGCACAAATATTTCTAATAATACCAGCTGTGTATAAAAATGCTTAGTTACAAATTAGTGCTTCACAGTCCTTCGGAACCACACCGCAACTGCTTGATATTTTTACCCATCCTCATGTTATATGAAAAAAATGTGCAATATATATAGTCATTAAAATCTTCTGTTCTGCCTTAAGATCTGGAATACTATTTTTAATGCATAGCTGATGGCAATTCTATAAGGGCACAGCTGCTCAAAAAGATGGCTCAGTCTCCATATGCTGCCCCTGCAAATGCAATAGAGTAGTTCATAAATATGAAGAGCGAACATACCATTATTCATTGTCCCTGAAGAAAATGAAAGCCTGTGTTTTCCTTGCATTCATCCATTTTGCAGCATGGTTTAATTTAATTTTAATGCATGTGCTATTTCCCTTAGTAAAGGCTTCTATATGATAAAACAATCAAACACCAAATCAATATGCAATAAAATGCATAGAATTCATTGTATATTTGTTTACATCTCAATAAAAATCAAGATTTCATAAATACCTTTGAGAGCTGTAACCATCATAGTGCATCCCATGCTTATAATTTCATTAAAAAGTCTGTATATTAATTCTGTGTGGAATGGATGAAACAAAATACAGTCACTTCCTTAATTAGTCTACAGGACAGGAATAAAAGCAGGTAGGATAAAAATTAAAGTCTATCCCTTCCAAATATATCATGTGTACAACAGGACACCTCGAAGTCAAAAGGTCATTATTTTCCAGAAAATTACATATTCTATGCAAAATCTGATAGTCTTTATTGATGGACAGTGTCATAAAGCCATCACTGTGTTTATAGACATTTAATTGAAGACAGCATAAAACGATAAACTAAGAAACATGCATGGTTGACTCCTCCAATTCAAACCATAAATCATACTGATGTTCAGACAAGTCGCTCAGACACAAATTCTGATGATAGATGAACCATTTAACTTTGATTTTTGAAAGCAATGAGCTTGCTAGCAATACCTCACACTGACTAATACCACATATGGTCATATAAGAACTCATCAAAAATCCATTTTTCTCTTGTGTGGATGCTAAAATTATCTTCTAAATGATCATTATTAAAAGTATGCAGTGTGTAACATCTTTCTAATGTGCATAGCTGGATTCAAAGTCTGCTTGCTTCAGTAAGCAATGATTTTATCGTTATCTCTAATCTTTCAACGGAGGCTCTTAAAAATAAATAAAAAGATGAGGTAATCCGCAAAATTAATTTATAAAGAGCAATAGAGGAAGCTTAACTGATCAAATAAATGGCAAGGAACTTTGCTTCTTGGAGCTTCTTTATGCATGATGCTTTATTCAATTAATAAAACACTACACGATCAGTCCTGTTTTAATTGATCCTGTGTGAAGCTTTTCTTGTCATGTATTACCTTTGCAATCAATATCTAAAAGGAGACATATATACCACATTTACCAATGGTTTCCTCATAGTCAGTATTTTACACAAACTGTTATACATCTAAACATTGGGAAAGGGTCTGTTTGCAATTCATTAGTATTAGATATTCATTACTATTAATCACAGTGTTATCATATCCTCCTAATATTTTACCAGTAGCTTTGATATGTATGACTTGTCTAAAACCCATTTCACACTTTTGGGATGAAGCCCAGGTTTAACATTGTATACCGACACATATAAATAAGATGACACAAAGGAGGAATACACCAAATTATTATTTTTTCTGCTGTTACCTTGCAATGATAAAATTTCAAAATGCAACTTGCTAAAACAAAACTTTGTCTATGGCACAAACGAAATGCTTCTACTTTCCAACACGCTAAACATTTTTATTAAATTATTTAAAATCCATTAAGTTTTTACCTCAAGTTTTGATTCACAACAAGGACCCCACCCTCTTGATCTCATAACAAAATCTCAAAGCAGAAATTAAAAGCATAGCCAATAAAATATTCACTAGGCTTTTGTTTTGCACAGCCTTCTTTGCAAACTAACACTACAGTCCTATACATGCTTATTCCCTGGGACTTATTTCCAAGAAAACCAGTATAGGATTGTCACATTAAGGGTCTAGTATCTTACAATCATTGTGCTCAGAGTAGATTTCAGCTGTCATTCACAGGAGAATCAAGCCTTGCCCTACCTCACCTTAAGTGTGCTTGATAGACTGAAACAATATACCGTCTATATTATGTAATTAATTAGTTTGTATCAACAAAATCTGTGCATTGTTAATTTTCCTTCCTTCCTTGTTTTAAAAAGATGGTATGAAGTATATTTACACAACTATTCCATGCTAATGGATGCTTCCTTGAAGTTAAATAGAAGCTTCCACTTTTCTGAGCTACTGTTGAATAACAAACTTTATTTTTACATGTGTATCAGATTCTCCCCACTTTTAGTCACAGTTTTGTTGTTTTTTTAAAATATGAGGGCCCCCCCCCTCCTTGTATTCTGGAGTTTCCAGGTGATGGCTCTCTCCAGCTAGCCTGCAAAGGATTCAAAGCTTTAGCATTATAATTCAGGGGGAAGTAGCATTTCTTTCTCCCCTAGGGACTTGTTTAGCAGTGTAGCATAATGTCAGACTTTTGGTCTTGTTAGTAAGCAGAGTGCATACTTGCAGCAAGGCAGATAGTATTCAAGATTCATTAATATAACCTGATTTGCTGGGCTTACTAACAAAGCCCTCCTATTTCACCTCATTTTCTCATTTTTCTTCCCAAAAGATATACATACAACATTTTGAGCATATCCCCCCCCCCCCCGTCCTCCTGGAAAATCCCTAGATTTAAGATAATCAAATTTGAATAAATCTCAAACTTGGTGTGTGAGTATACCTTTAACAGTTGACTTTCACTCCCAATTACACTGGAATAAATCTGAATTCATTTCATTCAAGACCAAGTCATGCACATAACAAACTGTACCTGGCACTAGGATTTGGGCCTTAAGCAATAGAATTGCAGAACAGTTACCATTCTTCTTCTCTCTCATTTGTTTTTTTTTCGCAGGGCAGGATGTTTTGCAAACCGATAATACCACAATCATTCCAATGATGTTCTAACACATCTCCTTACCTCAGTTCTTACCAAATCAAGTTCTGGAATGACAAGCTCAGCATGGACCCCCTCAACTTCCTTTTTTGGTATCATCCGGCTGTAATAAATGAAAGAGCAGTGATATTTAGATGGATGAGTTGTATGCCAGGAAGAGAAAACTACCAAACAAGGACCTAAAGCGATCCGCTGTCTTCACATGCTTGATTTCATTCCTTAATTAGAGCCATTAATCAATAGGTATGAGATATGAGGCTTTAGGAGGGCTTGGTGACACGACACCTTGCCACCTGTCAAAATTACAGCTTTCTGTTCATGCACCATCCCTCAAATAGTTATTTTCTGCAAGCCTGGCTGCATCTCACAATCCATTATTTACTGTATAGTTCTATCTCACTGCAATGTCAAAAGATAACCCTCTGATGATAAGGAATGGTTTACATAGAATGGTTAAAACTCACAAACATGCTTCCACTGATCCTACAGTTGTTAAAGCCTTAAAACACTATACAATCATTTATTTGGGAATAGTAAGCCATGTTCCTGGTGAGGGGCAATACTTCACACACACACACACACACACACACACACACAATAGCTATCAATTTATTTTAAATGCTTTATATGAGATGCAGCCTAAGATTTCATCAAAAGGATCATTTAAGCAAAATAACAAATAATATAAAGTTGAAGCCATTGTCATCCCATATACAACTGTATCATAATATATTTCACGCGCATTTTATACCAGAAACAAATTAATTGTGTACATGCATTAATGTACTGGCATAAATATTAACCCCTCTAATAGCAAACGCAGGTGAGTGACAGCTGACAGAAATGGAGCCCAAATGGTTCATGAGAAGCAAGAGGAAGGCACGTATTTGTATGCTCTGGGGAACACAGAGTTGTGACAAAGTACAAAAATAATAAACTAAACACACAATCCGTTACCCAATTCTCTTTTTTATTATTATTTTTATTATTTTTCACAATCAAACATTATCTTCACATGACATAATAAACAGATGCAATTAAAATAGAAAATAGAAAATAGAAAATAAAACATTTTCATACCATATTAAATCCATATTTTCGGATTCCTCAGATCCCTTGACTTCCTTCCATTCCCTCCCCCCCCCAGTTCTTTTGTATTTTCTTATATTGTACATGTCTATAATTTTCTTATCTTTAAATATTTCCAATTTTAAACATTGTCCTTAATATTACAAGTGTTTTTATAACCCTGATGTTGTATTAACTTTATTACAATGCTTTTGTAAATATGCAATAAACATTTTCCATTTTATATATATATTTGTTGTCTTGATTTCTTAGTCTTCCAGTTAATTTAGCCATTTCAGCATATTCCATTAATTTAAGTTGCCAATCTTCTTTAGTTGAGACTCGTTCTTCTTTCCAGTGTTGGGCTATCAGTGTCCGTGCGGCTGTTGTTGAATACATAAACAATTTTTTATATTCTTTCAGTATATCCGTTCCAGTTATACTTATTAAGAAAACTTGCAGTTTTTTAACAAAGGTTATTTTTAACATTTTTTTCAATTCATTATAGATCATTTCCCAAAAACGTTTTATGACCTTACATTGCCACCACATATGATAAAATGTACCTTTTGCCTCTTTATACTTCCAACACTTACTATCTTCTGTTTTGTACATTTTTGATAGTTTAACCGGTGTTAAATACCATCATTTTCATATAATTCTCCTTAGGTGCTGTACATCCCTTACCCAATTCTCACACACATTCAGCCAATGAGGATGCTGAGTAGCCTTGGAATGTTGGCTGTCAGTTAGAAATGAAAAGCAGAAGGAAGGAGGTCCGGATGGAACGGTCTTCTGGAGGAGGAAAGGGTTGACTGCTTGAAACCCAGAACAGGAAAATTCATATTAAGAAGTGAGATTACGCTGCAATATTCTTTTGCTGGTTTCTCCCTTGATAAATTTAAATACTGTGCATTTGAATCAAAACTGAATAGGTTCAACTTTCAATGTGGGAAAATTAGCTGGTTTTGAACTAGCTGTATTGTTGTACTGTTGTAAAGCTGTACTGTTCCTTTACAATAAAAATGTTTCTATAGAATGTTTTTAAATGGCTCACCTCTTTCTATGTTTTCATGCAAGTAGCAGAATTAGCAGTAGGGCTAAACACATCAACCCTTATTGAAGACGTTTAAAGTCCTGTGAAGGAGAACAGGAGGAGAAGATGACTACATGGAAATCCACAAACACTCCATCCCAGAGCCTGCAAGTGTCCCTATTTCCCAGGGACATCTCTGATTTAGAGAAGCCATCCCAGTTTCTGATTTGATTCCTGAATGTCCCACTTTTCCTTAAAGCTAAAGGGACCCCTGACCATTAGGTCCAGCCGTGGCCGACTCTGGGGTTGCGGTGCTCATCTCGCTGTATTGGCCCAGGGAGCGGGCGTACAGCTTCTGGGTCATCTGGCCAGCATGACTAAGCTGCTTCTGGAGAACCAGAGCAGTGCACGGAAACGCCGTTTACCTTCCCGCCGGAGCGGTACCTATTTATCTACTTGCACTTTGACGTGCTTTCGAACTGCTAGGTTGGCAGGAGCAGGAACTGAGCAATGGAAGCTCACCCATCGCGGGGATTCAAACCACCAACCTTCTGATCAGCAAGTGCTAGGCTCTGTGGTTTAACCCACAGTGCCACCCGCGTCCCAGCACTTTTCCTTAGGATGTCCCTATTTTTATTGGAGAAATGTTGGAGGGTATTAATTTATCCGACCCCTGAGCCATCTGAAAGCAATCCTGTATAGGGAAGTTTTTTTAATGTTTAATATTTTATTATGTTTTTATATATGCTTGAAGCTGCCCAGAGTGACTGTGGCAACCCAGTAACATGTGGGGGGGTATAAATAGTAAAATCATCGTTATAGAATGATCAGAGAAATGTTTGTGGGTATGCCGTCCATATGTAAAGGGCATACCTGCATCAACATGGTGGCCTCACGGTTGGGATTCACAGAATGCTGTGTGAGATAGTAAGTCTGTCGGCTTGAGTTTGCTAGCTGATGCAACTGGCTGATGCAATCAGCCTGCAATACTTTCTATGGAAGTGCTGGGTCAGAATGACTCAGCAGTAATGTGCTGTCAGTTGATTGGCTGTCATCGGTTTAAAAGGGAGACCTGTCCAGCAGTAAGGGTGTGGTGTAGAAGAGTGTGGTCAGAGAGAAAGCGTTAGAGGTCTTAGTATTTGTCTTAAGGTACAGCCAGGTACTCTGTTTGATTGTATGAACTGCTCGTGTATTACAGCCTGTAGATATTTGTATATATAGCTTACAATAAATATACTGCACTGCACTGAAGAACCTGGAACTCTGAGCATTTCTGCTAAAGCGCTGTGGAGAATTTGCGACACTCACTTTGTTATTCACATCATTTCAATTTATATTCTACTCTGACTAGGGGCGGAAGGCACCTAGAAGCTATACATGGTGCCCTTCAGATGGTCTACAGTTCCCATCATACCTGGCACCTGACTATGCAGTCTGAAGTGGATAGGAGCTGGAGTCCTTCTGGAGGGCACCAATTTGGAGAGGGCTATTTTAAAGGAATGCAAAAAAATAGGCTCTGTGTGTGATGGCTTAAAAATAATGACCAAAAAATTAACCATCAGCTAATTTTTCCTCATCACTTCTTACCTCAACTTGCTGCAAAACACCAATTATTATATCATACCCTTTTATGCAGTAATTTATAAACACATACTCAGGTTGTCTTTGTTAGATCACACCCACACCCAACTCTCACTGCTGAAATTTGAGTCCCCCGAGGTCCGCCACTGCTGGAGGGCTGCAGGTTAGTCATCCCTGATTTACAGAATAGAAATACTACTCATACTGTCAACATAGTGGATTTTTTACCAGCCTCATCCCACTACTGTTTCAAATATGGTCAGGAAAGATGACCATTTATGTACCAGATACTAAGGAAACATACGGTAGTCAAAGTGTGGGGAGGGAATCAGACTTACAAACAGTTTATGGGATAGTTATACTGGAGACCTAGGCTGCAATCTTATACACTCTTACCTCAGAGCAAGTCCCTTAAACTCAATGGGGCTCACTTCTGAGTAGACATTTATAGGACTGTGTTGGTAAAGGTTAAAAGGCTAGTGCACCATTACTTAAGTTAACCTTCCTGTCCCCACTCTGTAACTAACGTAATTATACTCAGTTTAATCACAAACTTAATTATACCTTACTTAGCCTTTGAATGTCACTAACTCCCTAGAGCTTGATAGAGCAAAGAAATATATACCATATCCACATATGCACAAATGCATTTCTGGCTGTTATACAAGTCAGAATTGTGTGTGTGTGTACTTTATATTTAGCTAAGTAAAAGAAATAAAATGATTGCCCATTTAAAGTTAGGAAAAATGCTTAATATGGGAGCTATTCTCAAGGAATGCAAACTTGCTACCTGTTTCCATCTTGAGAGTAAACAGTCTCCCTACCCTCAAATAGTCACAACAGAGTGGTGCAGGCTTTCAACAAAAATAAGCAGTGAATCCAATCCAATTTTCACAACTTGTACAATATATAAAATTAGAATCTTTTGTACTGTAAATAAAAAGATGACGCTGGAAAGATAAGGGAGAATTAAAAAGGTATTTTTACACCGTTACAGGTGACAATATGTAATTGACTTGTTGCTCTGTTTTGTTCAACTGTTATGCCTGTCATCAGTGACTTACAAAATTAATTAGCTTCTATTTGTGCCTCTTCTGAATGCTGTGGGAAACGAATAAGTGTAAACACATCCACACTTGACAGTACGTGTCTAATATGAACATTGCCAAGGCTCTGGACATGTAGTAGATGTGCTCCCAACATGACAGAGGTATGAATAGCCTACGAAACAGTATCTGCTATCTTTAGCCCTCTCTTTTTTTGTACATTTTGAATTATGTCTCTCCCAAGTACATATGAATGGTTGGGATTCAAATAAATTGTATTGAAAGCAGATCCATTGAAATTAATTAGTTAAAGCTATGGTTTTCCCAGTAGTGATGTATGGAAGTGAGAGCTGGACCATAAAGAAGGCTGATCGCCGAAGAATTGATGCTTTTGAATTATGGTGCTGGAGGAGACTCTTGAGAGTCCCATGGACTGCAAGAAGATCAAACCGATCCATTCTTAAGGAAATCAGCCCTGAGTGCTCATTAGAAGGACAGATCCTGAAGCTGAGGCTCCAATACTTTGGCCACCTCATGAGAAGAGAAGACTCCCTGGAAAAGACCCTGATGTTGGGAAAGATGGAGGGGAAAGGGAGAAGGGGATGACAGAGGACAAGATGGTTGGACAGTGTTCTCGAAGCTACCAACATGAGTTTGACCAAACTGCAGGAGGCAGTGGAAGACAGGAGTGCCTGGCGTGCTCTGGTCCATGGGGTCACGAAGTGTCCGACACGACTAAATGACTAAACAACAAAAGGGCACATACACATTTCCTTTTGTCCCTTGATTTCAAATCATGGGTTTGAGAGGGGGCATTTTTTGGTCCGTCCACTTTCCCAGGGAAAACCCACTGTTCCCTGCTGAATCAGAACAAATGCCAGCTGGGTTTTCTGCAGATTGACATTTGGTTTGATTCAGCAGTAAACAGTGGGTTTTCCCAGGGAAAGTGGCAGGACAAAATAAAAAACCTCTCAGGCTTGTGACTTGAAATCACAGAGGAAAATGGAAGAGTGAGTGGACCCAAAGTTGGGTCCATTAGTTACAATGAGTCTACTTGAGTAAACTTAGTTAATAACACCCAATGTGAACAATTGCATATGTATTTACGGTATGTTTATTTGAATAATCTTTTGAAAGCTACTGCTATTATTGCAACACTAATACAGGAGATTAAATACAGTGTCAGAAGTAAGTCCCATTGGGCCTACTCTTCCTTGTAATTGTATTTAACATTGCAGCCCAAGTGACAAGTTATTATATCAGCATGTCCAAATTGAGGAGCTAAAGCAGGCATCCCCAAGCTTTGGCCCTCCAGATGTTTTAGATTACAATTCCCATCATCTCTGACCACTGGTCCTGTTAGCTAGGGATCATGGGAGTTGTAGGCCAGAACATCTGGAGAGCTGCAGGTTGGGGATGCATGAGCTAAAGCAACTAATGCACACAATAACTTCCATCCTTATATAGGGACTTGCCCAAATTTCACTTTGGCCAAAAGCTATTCTAGAGAGTCTCTATCTCCCCCCTTCCCCCAAAAAAATAACCTTAAGGAGCAGCTTGGAAGCTTGGGCTGGGGAATGAAAGGGCAGTAGATGATGGAACTTGTAAAATGCACTGCATTTGCAAAAGTCTCTTGAGGGACCCATACATTTCAAATGTCTCAACATATTTCACCCTCCTTTGTACTGTCTTCAGTTCTAGTAACATAGTGATCCAAATCCCTGTTCTACTAGGCAGGAGGGGGGAGTTTGGACGAAGTGGAAATAGTTGTGCTGGGCTCCACCAGCGTTTTGCCGCACTGGGGTTGTAGATGTGGCAGCAGTTCCATAGGTCCCATTACCGCCTGGCCAGGGTTGAGATTGCTCCCTGAATCTTTTACTAGATTATCTATCACTGCACAATATTGTAAGTGTAAGTGTAGTATAAGATTGCTACTTTTTCTCATTTTACTCTCAGCAGTTTCCAATGCCACAGCACACAATTTAGAAAGATTTCTGCTCTAACCCAAGCCCAGATTCCTGGCTCTGAGAGTCAGAGGGTTTGAGTGGTTATATTTAGGGATGCCATATTTTGAAGGTCAAAAAAGAGGCAATATCTACACTATGAGAAATTGTCACAACCTCAGCACAACCAGTAGGAAGGCCTTTCTCTCATACCATCCATTGCCCAAATGCAGCAGAGATGTTCAGGTTTGCTTCGGCACTTCCAGATCTGTCCAGATTCTGCAGTCAGCCTGTAAGGAATACATCAGGATCAGATTGTTATGTACCTGTAACAACTTTGAGCATCACATTTTCACTGGTATACATTATTCATGTTTATAGTCAGGCTTAAAACTCTCTCACATTCCCGCATTAAACTCTGAGAGGCTTATGCCACTCAAATATTTGTTTTTATTTTCATTAAATATTCAGGGAGGTGAAGCACTGCTTCTTTGGCATAATACAAAGTTTGACTATAATATATCATCTAGAAAATGTTTGTGCTCCACATTCCATTTGGCGTTTTATGGGCTTTGGACACAACCAAGGCCAGTCATGGTGCCATTCAATCCTAATCCTTCCTGTTGAGCCCAGATGTTTCCAGAAGGGAGTCATCCTGCACAGGAAATCATACGCAGACACTGACTCCTTGAATGAGTGGAGGGAACTCTTTCACCAGCTGCAGAAGCTTCAATGTACCAATCAGAAAAAGATCCCATGCAGCTGAATCTTTCTATGAAGAATAAATCTGTAGAATATCAAGAGAGGGTCAATATGACTAAAGCTAAAATCTTCAAAATCCCTTATTCCCAAATTGTTGTGCCGACATTGACTCATCGTGGCCGTTTTTTGGGTAGTAATGGGGGAGAAATTAAAATGTGCATTTTAATGTGAACCTACCTAACTGCACTTCACAAATACACAAACCAAACTACAGCTGTCCTACAAAATTCAAACTTCTCTGAATTTTGCAATGCAAAAGTGTGTACAAATGAGTGCATATTGGGGTGCATTATACTATGCAAAAATGCAGTAAATATATTGTGTAAAAAGTGTACAAAAATTCATGTATATTAGGAGTACTGCACATGGATTTTTTACTTCTTTTTTAATGCACACTGACCAGGAAATGGAGTAAACTGAGTTTAAGTTGGGGGGGGGGAGAGAGAAACCAAATTTGACAAATCTACCCATCCCTGTTATGGATGCATATAAACTTATCCAATTATTTGAATATATATTTTGATAACACACTTTCTTCTCCTCCTCTTTACCTTTCACATCTGGATCATTATCAAGAAGCTTTATTTCCCTTTCTCTAGCCTCCTCTACTATGTAGCAGTTTGTTTTATGTCTTTCTCTACTGCATACAAATTCTGTGCTCCCTCAAGCTATTCAGAGATGTAAGGATTGTACTATATTTAAGACAAATAGGGAGGGGGGCACATAGCATGATTTTCTCACATTTAAACATAAATAAAAGCAAGAGGGTTTTTTTTTTAAGGCTAAATGTACAGTATCATTTCTGAAATATCGTGGATGTTGCTTTTGATTTTTCTATGCTACAGTCTTTTGTCACTTCCACTTTGTGACTGAGCTGCATTAAAGCTTCAGGGCACTTCTTTTCAAGTTCTGTGAAATCAGATTTAAGAGTCACAAAGGCATCGTGCCAGTGGGATTCTTCTGCAGTAGGCACTTTTTGATTGTCCACCGAAGACTGCCCAGCCTGCTGAACAATCAACAGAAGGTCTTCCAGCTGAGTATTTAAATCAACACAAAAGTCATATGTGAGAAAAAGCAGTGATCTAATACAGTAGAAAGACGTTAACCTTTCTATCAGTCTGCAGACCTCATCACATTTCAATAGATATTTACTTCTGCTACTGTACTAGACTTCCAATCATTTGTACGTTAAAACATTTCTTCATTCCAAATGGGACTAAAAGAAGCTTCCTTAATTGAAAATAATCGGGTGACAGTAGCCATTAAAAAAAAAAACTTATGCAGCTTTTTACAGCCTGGTTTTATGAAGTCTTCCAGTGCAGTTCTACGCATATCCACTCAGAAACAAACTAGGGGCCTTATACCCGAGTATGTATAAGATTGCATTCTACTCACACTAATCTAGGACTAAGCACACTGAACTTAACAGGACTGAGGGTGGTATGCAACTAAGTTTTGCTCAAAGTAGACCTACAAAAATTAATGAACCTTTTTAGCATAAATTTATAATAGCCAATCAGGAATAATGCATCTGATGGACTGCTTTCTGGTCCACAAAGGCTTATGCCGTAACTAATCAATGAAAAATATGTTGCCTTATCAGTCATGGGTACTTTTTAAATTGCTTGAAATATTTTTAATTCAGTAATTTAACTTCTTAATTGATTTACCCACACTAGGAAAATTACAATCTTGCATTCTGGCAATATTTCATTTTAAGTTAAATAAATTATTTTTCAAGAAAATGTAGCCTTGTTTCATGTGTCTTCTGCACATGAAAGAATCTTTTTAAAAGGGTACACAAAACTTCAGAATTTCCTTTCTTAAAATTTGGGAATGGTTGAATGAGTTTGAATATTTTATTCAATATATTTTTCAAATCCCTTTCTATTCAGCCACAAAGATACTATTCAATGTCTGCAAAGGTCATTTACTATCAGGTTTATTGTATACACTAATTTTATATTGCATAATAAATCTTCAGCTGCCCTGATATGTGACAATGCTGAAGGTTCAATCAGAGGTTGGCTGTATCAATGTTTAATGTCTCTCTCAATAATAATAAAAAATAGCACACATTTTTGATGAAAATAAATGTTCTTACTTTGTGCAATCTGCTTTCAAATGATTTTTATTGCAGATTCTTAAGTATAGTCCCTAAGTTACTAGTTATCCCTTGCCCATTCCTGTCACATTTTTATTCTGGCTGGTTGGCCTAATCTAAAAGCTGTCATAGCATAGTCTAATAGTGTAAATCTATACACGTCTACTCAAAAGTAAGTCCCATTGATTGCAATGGATTATCCAGGTAAGCATGTACAGGACCACAACCTATTCTATCAATCTGGAAGTGCTCAGTCCAAATCTCACTGGTGTCATTAACTCACTGGGTAGCCTTAGGCAAGTATTCATATTCCTGAGTAAATCTACTAGCAGACAGATGACTCTGCCCACTACTTGTCTCAAATAATGGGACATGTAGGTGTTTAGCAAGACAGACAGATGATCCAAACACCTACCTAACATAGTACATTGAGGGTAATTAGAGTAATCGACTCAAACTTTAGCTGATTAATCAGTGGTTGTGTCTCTTCAAAAGTATTTTTTATATCACACGATGAACAGCATTACCAAAGGGATCCAGTTATGTAGTTCTCCTTTTGTTGGCCATGCAGATCTTGGAGGCCACAGGATCTAGCCCACAGCCAAAGATTCATGGGACAAGAACCCTATGGCTCTTAGTCTTCAGCTTTCACCAAACACTCACATCTCAGGTGCACATATTACCAAAGGACAACAGCCTTCAGAAATAGTTCCAGATTATTTGACTTAGATCTCCCTTGGTCAGCTCCATCCACCTGTCTTAGGAAAAGCCCGGAGCTTCTTTAACCTGAGAGAGACAAGAATATGCAGCCTTTGAAAACAATCCCGTCAGCCTTCCCTTGCAAAACTCCACCCCATTAGAAAATGGGAACCAATTTTAATTGTTTAAGCTACAGTTTGAAGGCACATTTGTTCATTTTTATAATCTATCGCTCTGGAGGTGCCTTAAGAAGGTTCAGATGAATATACGTTGGTGACATGCATTTTAAAATATAACAACAACAACAATTTATTATTTATACCCCACCCATCTGGCTGGGTTTCCCCAGCCACTCTGGGCGGCACCCAACAGAATAGTAAAAGCACAATAAAACCTCAAACATTAAACAGGGCCACCTTCAGATGTCTTCTAAAAGTCAGATAGTTGTTTATTTCCTTGACATCTGATGGGAGGGTGTTCCACAGGGCGGGCACCACTATTGAGAAGGCCTTCTGCCTGGTTCCCTGTAACCTCACATCTCACAGTGAGGGAACCGCCAGAAGGCCCTTGGAGCTGGACCTCAGTGAATAAATGACTGATCAGAAAGCAGTTGATTAAAGCACTGCAATTATATAATTAATAACCCTCCCAATGCTTAGTGCATAGGTTAACTGATGGACAGACTGCTCATCAGCAGACACCTCCAACCAGTAATACCAAGTGATAAATTTTGAGACAATATTGCAAGGAAGGTGCTGCCTCTGGTAAGTAGGCACTGTAACAAAAATCAGATGTCCTAGTCCAGTAAGACCCACCATCTAGGGTGAAACATAAATTGCTTCAGGTGTTCCCATAATGGTTTGGGATCTGTCATGAGAAAAGTATGCAATCCAGACACTCTTTTACAAGCCAGATAAGAAACAAGACTCACCTATGATCGCAAGCATAGTATCTAGAGTGAAAAAGATACAATGATGGATTTTGTGCAAGGAAAATATGAACTGGGGGGGGGGGGCAAGGAAGATATATCAATGCATTTTGAAAATGCTTGTATACTGGCAAAATACTCTGAGAAGCATCACTTAGGACAATGGTCCTTTAAAATACTTTAATGAAACAGCAGTAGTAATAGTCATTATTTTTACAAATGGTTAAATTTTGCATAATTTACCTAAAATTCCACTGTTGATTCATACCACAGTTTTCAGTTTAAGGCCATTTGATTCAATAGTACATATATTATTTTCAGAGGCTGAGAGCTGAAAGGGGATATAATAACATTAGAGACTATCATTTCACATTTCTTGCAACATATATAAGTTTATTTTGCTGTTGTCCAGGAAATACTTGACAAATATTTAATAGGATAGTCCTTCATAGCCCTATATTTTTAAATTTGCCTGTAACATCAATGCTGAGATATTGTCTAATAAAGCCACATCTTTATATTTATCCAAATCGCATTATATACAGCAGAATCTGAAAATATGTTGTAATGTATTCTAAATCCAGAAAATTTATGCTATTGATGGCTTAGATGAGGAAACACAAGCACCATTTTCTTTTATTTTTTGGTAGAAGTTAGAAAGAACTAACTCATGCTTAAACCTTACTGCTTTTATTCAAAGGTTTTAACAAGTAACATTGTGCTTTAATTAGTACTGTACACTCTATTATTAATCCTATGGAATGACTGGTTTAAA